CAGCTTAGAGTGACATAATTAACATACAGCTCAAACACACTAGTCCAATGCAATCATACAAGTGATAATTGTTTGGCTCACAAGAAATCCTAAGACACAAATCACACGTGAAGAACACAATACACAGACTGAATTTTTCACTCACAAACAGCTCATACAACACTCTGTAAAATCTCTCAGTCTCGCTCTTGAATTAGGATTGCCACTTCTGTATTTATAGGCAGCGTAAGATCCTTAGACCTCAGTGCAGCCATTAGGTTTAACCAAGTTAAACCTCTTTTCATAAATCAGGATTCTGTCAATTAGGTCATAGGCATTTCATGTTATCCTTAGCATTGCCTAGCATTTCGCCTGAGATAACTAAGCGCCCTACAATGTTTTCTGGAATTTAGCCTGAGCTAACTCAATCATTATACCAGAAAAACAAACACGTGCCCTTGATGTCAGCTACCTGATGTCATAACATTCTGTATGACATCCAATACACTTTGTACTTAGCTAACCAAACTTACCCTACAGAACACTACACAAGCATGTCATGACATCAATCATGACATCTACACACAACATTGTTTTACCATAAAATGCAGTCAATCAAGAACATCTACATAATTTATCGAGAGAAATAAACTAGACCTTTTTCACAAACAAAAAATATCAAAAATAGAAAGAAAAAAAACATAGAAAGTTGCAGGTAGACATAGACGGAGATCGACCGCCTTATTTCAAGCATAACTTGAGTTTCGTAAGTCGGTTTGAGATGTCGTTAGTTGCATTGGAAAGATAACGAGATAACCTTTTTTTTGAAGTAGATAAAATGGGTTTAGGGGTGCTAAAACAATAGCAGTTCACTGGTTTTATACCATAGACGTAGTCAATTTCAGCTCTGTGTTGGTCATTATGTTTCACGTGTAACTTGAGTTTCGTAAATCCTTTTGGGATACCGTCAGTTACAATATAAAGAGGGTTTAATGATCTTTCAAATTGTAGAATTTCATAATTTTATCATGAGTATATAATTTTTCGTACTATTCTGAAGTCAGACATTCTGTTTTAGAGTTTATGCAGGAATTATCGCGATAGTGCTGAACTGAAACCAATATAACTGAAGTTTCATAACTCTGCTTGAGGTATAGTTAAGTGCGTTTGAAATGAGATTTAAATAAATTTCAAAGTGGAGAATTTCATAATTTTATCACAAATCTATAATATTTTATTCTATTTTGAGGTGGGCCAATTTTAGAGTTAGGTCTAGAGTTTTAAGCAATTTTGAGTGTAGTGACATTTTGTTACCTTTATAATGACTTTAAGAGTCCTGTTTTATTTGGTTAGAGTTATTATAAAGTTGTTAGAGTTGATTTTGAATTGTTTAAAGTTGGAGATCAAAATATTGGATACACTTGAATTGAGTTTGGAGCACTATTGACATTATAAGGTCATCTTTCGAGTAACATTTTTATTCTTTGAAGGTTGTTAATCCAAAAGAGTGAAATTGAGTTTACCTGACGGGATATATCCTTAGTAGATTTATCACTAGTGAATTTGTACCCTTAGACATTTGGGTACTTTAGAGTACTTTTGGGGTACTCGAGGTTTATTTTTGAAAATTATGAATTTTAGGCATTGAGTTCTCGAAAAATTTTGATGAGTTAAGGGTTTGGGTTAATAACATAACTTAGTCCTTTTTCATGAAAAATAATTAAAATTATTTTAAAAACATATTTTTGAATATAGTAATCCAAAGGGATTACAATGATGGCCTTAATTGGTTGAGTATAGTAATCCATAGGGATCACGGTGATGGTCTTGATTGGCGATTTCAGTATAGTAATCCATAGGGATTACATTGATGGCCTTAATTGGAGATTTCAGTATAGTAAATCAGGGAGATTACAATGATGGCATGTGATTGGCAACTTATATGTTCAAGAGTGGAACCTTTTATAGCATATTTTGAGTTTTGTTAGTTGTGATTCTATGATGTTGATGATGTTGCATTTTTTTATTGCTCATAACCATGCATTCATTTATTTTGGAGATATGTAGGACTTCGGTTCAGCGATGTCCTGTTTCAGAGAGGAACTATGAATGTCTCACGTCTAGAGAGGGACACGGTTCAGAGAGAAACCGGAGACTTGAGAAAATCAGTAACATATCTCTAATCCCAAATACTTGGTACCACATGCATTTTAAGTAGGAGTTGGTGGCATGTGTATCATCATTTGACTTTGATTGTGTTTTTGTGTGAATGATGTACTTATGAGTTCTTTAATTACCATCCTACTGCTAATTTTCACTGTTATCATTTGCAAGGTGTATTCACACCCCTTTCTGTTGTTGTAGCGTCTACGATCCTCTGGAGTACAGACAATCAGGTACTCAACAGGACTGGTTGCTTACAAGTTAGAAGATGGCCTTGGAGTTTTTCTACGTTTATATTTACATTTATCGCATTTTAGTGGTTTATATACTCTGATCTGTAACATCAGAGACGGGGCGCATTGTTTTGTTTGAGTTGTTGTTTGAAGTTATTTCTCTAAATATTTGCTTTAAATAATTGTTTTATGTTTTGAGATATTTTGAGTTCCTTTGCGAAGTTATTGAAAAATACTCTTGAAGTTGCATGTTTTAATTTTAGTAGCATCCTAAGTTGTGAAAATTCTCTTTTATATTAAGCGTTGAGGTTTAGGGTATTACAGATTACACATTCATTCAACACACAAGAGTTTATTGTTGACATTGCCAAAAGATCATGTAGCTGTAATTTCTAAGAATTGGTTGGTATTCCATGCAGACATAATGTTGTTGCATAAAGCTATAGGAAACAAAACCCTGAAGATTTGGTGGATAATTTCTATTCAAGATAGAAGTATTCCCAGTGTTATAGTTTTTCTATGAGTCCTATAAATTGAATGAACATGTGGCTTGAAGTTCAAGTTTATGAACTCCAACCACCTGTGTACAAAACTGAACCAGAAAGACTTAAGAAAGTTATAATTAAAGAATGTGGTAAGGATGGTGCTAGGATAAGAACAACTAATGTGTCTTATAAATGTATAAAATATGAAAATTTTGGCACAATGCAATGCCATGCAATAGCACTATTCAAAACCCAAATGCTTTAAAAAGAAAGGTAATTTTCAAAATAATAGTATAGCAAAACTTCTTTTCTTATTAGCTTGCACGGTCATGTTTTGATTATAACAAAACCTCTTTTTAAATAGAGGAAACCCAAAGTGTGTTAGGTTGAAGCAATTCATGGTGAACTAAAACCAAAGAAGAATAAGGTTGATGCAAGTCATGTTGAACTTGATGCAATTCGGGTTGAGGTTAATTCAGGTCAAGTTGATGCAGGTCAGATTGATGCATGTCAGGCTGATGCAATTGAGTTGAAGCATATCAAGTTGATGCAAGTCAGGTTGAACCAAGTGTGGTTGAAGCAGGTCGGGCTGAATCAAGTATAGTTGAAGCAAATCAGGCTGAACCAAAACCAAAGAAGAACAAGGTTGTAAACAAGCCTTCTAAGAAGATTCAAAACCTATTGTGAAATTGAGAAAAAAGAGATGTGAAAGATTGAAGCTCAAATAGTTTCAAAAACCAATTATAGGTTCTGGTTTAAATTTTGACCAGCTTATAACCTTAACAGAGCATGATAAAGATGCTATGACACAAGAAAATACTGCAATGGAACCTGATTTAAGTTTTGGTGTGTGTTTCAGATCCACGAAAGTTTGAGCAAAATTTTAAAAAGGCCTTCTAAATAGGTAGGAATTATGTCTTATGTTTCATTTTATAATGACTGATGCACTTTTATGTGCCATTTTTTGTCTGATAATAGGTGCACTTTTATGAGCCATTTTATTTGTAATTACTTATGCACTTTATGTGCTTCTTATTATATATTCAATCACTTTTGACTATATCTTAAGTTTGAAAATAACCAAAACCAAAATTGTTTATTAATCTAGTAGCCATTGAGACAATCTCATTTGATACATCAAAAATTGAAAACAATATCCAAGACAGTACATGTTGCTTCTTGTAACCAAAACCAAATATTTTATTAACAAACTAGCAATTGATACAATGACAATTGATACATCACATTTGATACAATGTCATTTGATACACTACATATTACATGAATTTATAGACAAAGGAAAACAAAATCATTAAACAATGACTTTTGTTCTTCTCCATTTGAAGCTTCTTCTTTATCTTTTCATGCTTCTTTGAATTGACTTCTACCCCCAACTCCTTCTTGAATTCCTTGTCAGTGTCCTTTCCGAATTCCCTTAAATAAGCCATTATCATTTCACAAATTGCAATTTGTTAGAATCTTTTTATTTCATTTCTACCATAAATTTGACCAAATTCATCATCCCAGATAAATAGGACACATCTTTCCACACTCTCCAGATTACATACACAATAAGGATGAGTTAAACTTCGAGAAAAATGAAGAAAAAATTAAAAATTTCTTACCCTAGTATTTCGGCATCTCCAAAAGAATTTTCTATTGAAATTTTCAATGGTTTTTCAAAATAAGCAATGGAATTACTAAAGAGCACAAAAAGTGCTCAAAACAAAACAAACAAAGTTATTGCCTCGACATACAAGAAAGTGGCGACAAAAACTACTCAAAAAATAAACAAACATTTGTCATTCTACCGGCAGAGTTGAACCACCTCCATGTTGATAGCTTAATACAATTTAGAACTTCGACATGACTAAAAGGGATTGCCCTAAAGATGTTGTCATTTCTACTCTTCCATAATGACCAAATCGTAAAAGCCCAAACCGAGTTACTGAAGTCAAAACCCATAGAATTCTTCAAATGAGTTGATAAGCTTAAGAAAAACTCGACACAAATTTTCTTCCTGTCTATCTCCAATCCAAGCCATCTCTCAATACTACTCCAAACTTTACCAGCAAAAAGACACTCCATGAAAATATGACGAGACGATTCGTTGATGATACTGCAACAAGAGCAAAAAGGATCAAAGTTTTTTACTCTTCCTCCAATGCTCAAGTTTTTTACTCTTCCACACCGTCAACTTACTCCTAAATAACTCGATCACATGACTCCACATACGAATTCTACGCGGACTATCACCAACAAAGGTTCCAAAGAATTTAAGAGGGAGGGAACTCACCTCACTGTTCAAAAACTCAGCAGCTGAATCTAAAAAACCTTTCTTACAGTTAACTCCATATAAGCTACTTTTGAAGAAGTTGACTTTCAATCCGGAGATCAGCTCAAAACCTCTGAGCATAGCTTTCGCAAACCATAAATTATCCCAGTTACCTTCTCCAATGAACGTCGTATCGTCTGCAAATTGGATAATGTTGTGGGACACCTCACCGAAAACCTTGAACAGAGCCAGATCTTCAGCTTTCTTCGTAAGGGCATTCAACCCTTCCATCACTAAGATGAAAAGAAAAGGAGATAAAGGATCTCCTTGTCTAAGCCCTTTGTTGACCTTGAAGTCCTTGGTAGAGCTTTCGCTTATAAGAACCGACATAGTACCGTTAAAAACCAGAGACTCCGTCCACCTCTTCCAATTCAGGCCAAAATTCATCTTTTCCAATAGATATCTCAGATAGTCCCAACTTACACTGTCATATGCCCTCTCGAAGTCTACTTTCAACACTAAACACTCTTTCTTCAAACGCTTTGCCATGTCTAAGATTTCATTTAAAACCACTACCCTGTCAAGCATGTTCTTACCAGCCACGAATGCAGATTGTTCCATAGTGACCAGGTTACCAACTACAATCTTCAGCGTATTAGCTAGCAGCTTAGAAAGAATTTTTTGAAATGCACTAACTAGACAAATTGGTCGGCAGTTCACCAAGTATTGAGGTACTGCAACCTTAGGCACAAGAGACAAGAATGAGGCCATTGCATCCTTGGACAATGTAGTATTAGAATGTAACTCCACGACAAAATTAACCACGTCAACCTTAATGATATCCCAACATTTCTGAAAGAAAAGAAAAAGAGAAACCATCGGGGCCAGGGCTCTTAGAACCTTTGCACTGCCACACAGCATCCTTTATTTCAAGTTCAGTGAAAGGAGCCTCAAGAATGCTTCTATCTACATCAGCAAGTCTCTTCAAACTCACCTCAAGAATTCAACAAATACTAGAGCCAAATAAACAGAATCTTTACATTACGGAAAATAAACCGAATGTCGCTCATTATACCGGAGTTTTGAATATTTAATCCAAGAAAATAATATACAATTTTCAAGCTTAACCAGTTGGATATGAGTTTACAACTGTAATTATATCATGCGGCTGTATACACAAATTAAGTCGCTAATTTGAGGTGGGAAGATTACACATTTACCAAATCAATTTTAAATAATTTATACCATGAATTTAAATCGCCCCACGTGTATCACATAGTTACTGTATGAAATGAAATCTGGTTCTAATATTGTGTAGAGGGAAGAGAGAGCATAGTTGTTGAATAAAAAAATAAAATAATAATTTGCTCAGTTAAATAATACCCAGAAAAAGTGTTCACATTTTAGTTACCTCAAATAGAATTCTATCTGATGAATGAAACCTATAAGAATTTAGTAAAATAAAAAGTGTGGTCTTCTAGACAAAAATTGATTCCTTGAGTAACAGAATTTTAGAGTTTCATTATTTCTAATACTGATTTATCCAATAATTATTTTAAAAATAATACATAATTCAGCCAGATAATAATATAAGTGAAGAGAAGAAACTAGTTATCAACATAAAGTAAATAGAAATATTCTTGTAAGATCTTGTTCCTGTACAGAAAAACTATTACAACACTCGTGCTAGGGTAAAAGAAGTTACAGGGATGAATATGGTATACATTGATTCTTAGAGTCAAGAGTCAATGACAACAAACACTACTCTATTTACACAATATTATCTGCATCTTGAAAATTACAAAATAGCATATCAACCCTTGCAAAAATATAATTCTTGATATAGCTGATAGGGCCCCTTATATAACATAATCTATATATCTCTATCTATAATGGGGTCGCGAATATCGTAATTCTTAACCAAGCATGGATTATTGGCCTGTGCAAGGGGTGAACTAAACTAAAAAAATGGCACCCTAGTGCGGCGATAAGGAATGGTCTCTGAAGTAGGTTGAAGAATTTGGAGCCTTCTTGGATACTCGAATATTCTTAAGAGTCATCATGAGTTTTTGTCTCTCACCTTCAACTTCTGCAAACTGCAGACTTAATTGAGAGTATCGGTCGTGCATCTCTTTCAGTTCTGTTTCCATGGAAGAATGTCTTGTCTTTAGTTCTAACATATCTTTAATCAGCTCATTGATATCCCTGAAACTTCTGAATACTGCTTCGTCGTCACTGTGTTGCTTTGAGAAAGAACTGAAACATTGGAGAAGATATGTCTCAAACCTGCTCATGCAACAGTATTTAGCATATTTCATTAATTTTGTAAAGAAGAATGTACCTCTGTAATTTGATGCTCGATTTTTTCTTGGTTTGCAATGCTTCAGCAAGCTCAATCTCCAAAGCAAGCACCCTTTCTAATGCATTACCACTGACAGAGATTTTATTGAACACGGGGAACATGTTTCCTAACTCTTGATTGGCCTGAGCAAAGTACGGACTTAATAGGAATATAGACAAAGGTGTGTTTTGTCGTAATCAAAGCAACAAAAAACATTTACCTCATGTAACTGTGTCAGTTCTCTGTGAAGACCTGGAAAACTTGACTCATGGTTTTGACCATCTTCTGTAGGAAGCATATTATCGTTTTTCATCCTTTCCAACTGCGAACAGAGTACAGAACTTAAATATCACATTTGAAACAGACAGAATTGTAAAAGCAGCAGCTGAAGGATCAGGAAAATGCAAGTATTGAAACTATACTTGTTTATGCATCTTAAAAACTTACTTCTTTATTCAGGTGGTCAATGCTAGATTTCAAACTTTCAGCTAAAGCCATGTGGTTGTTTTCTTCTTTTTTTTTCACGTCCTCTTCAGTTCCGAGAATTTGGCATCCATTCGTAACTCTAGATGCATGAGGATCCTATGAAAGAATAATGAAAATAAATTATAAAGGCATATCGATCAAGATTGATGTAGGAAGGCGTACTTTTGAAATGTTGCAGTAAGATAAAGTATATAACCTTTTCTACAAAGTAGGACTAGGTTTGAGAAGAAATGGGAAATAAAGACAAAAGGAAAAGGAAACAAGAAAGAACTGATAACCGGTTCTAAAACTTTACCACATGTTCCAACGAGAAAGCTCAGATGGTGAGCTGATGAAGTTATAAATCCTAGAAACTAACATAATCACTAATTTATTAACATTTGCCTAAAGAAAAATCTAATCACAAATCCTTGTTTCTTCTCTACATATTCCCTAGTGCATGCTGCACAAAGTGATAAAAGTTAATCATCCTAGAAAATAGGTGATTTCAATAATAATTGATAATTAAACATAAATAAATCAGTCAGTCACCTCAGGTTGCACACTGAGGGTTGAATTTGCACTTTCTGGTTCGTGACTGAAAGCTGCAGGGTTTGATTTTTCTTGAGGATTTAATGAAGACAATGTGCCATTGCCCTCATTCAGAACATTCACACTAGATTTCAAAGTCTCAATTGGTTCCTTCACCAGGGTAAGCTCTGCTTCAATTTTGGACTTCTCCTCACTGCATTTCAGAAGAGAAGCTTCAAGCTCTTGTTTTTCTTGCTTACAGCATTCAAGGGATATCACTGAGCACTCCTTTTCAGCCTTCAACAGGTCATAAGCATTTAGCAAATTGCGTTTGTCAGATATTACAGCCTGTAACTCAGCCTCCAATTCCAAGATCTTCATTCCCAACTCTTCATTTATTTTTATTTGAGAAGCTTCAGACTTTTTTCTATTCTCAGTTTCTTCACTTGCATGTTGTAGTTTCCACAGCATTTCCTCGCTATGTTTTTTTGACAAAGACAGTTGTTGTTTCAGTTCTTGCAACTTAGTTTCATATTGTTCTTTGATAAATGCAATTCTCAATGACTCCTGCATAGCGGCCGGCGGTCCTTCATTTCCTCTTCTGTCACGAGCATTAAGACATTCAGTTTCAGCTTTGTCTTTCAGTTCCTTCAAATGAATAGACAAATTCTTGAACTCCTCTGTCTTAAGAACCTGTTCAGAAAGCCTCCTGGTAAGCTCATTACATTGGTCCTGCAGCCTTATCAGTTCATTATCAGATTGTTTCATAGAAGTAATTGAAGTTTCAAGTTCATTCAATTTTCCTTGGAGAACTATACATTTGACTTCAGCTTCTACATTTGATGAAAACAGTCCTGCCCCATCTCTACAAACACTTTCCAACAATTGCTCCAGCCTTACAACCTCAAGCCGGCACTCGCTTTCACGCAAGTAAGAAGAATTGCTGACATTTTCTGTCCTACTCTTGTGTTCCCTAAGTTCTGATACTGTTACACTGTTTTGATCAATTAGTGCTCTACACTGAGCAGTATACACTGCTAACTCAGACTTTAGGTAGTCAAGACTCGTGGACAATGTCATATTTTCTTCCATGCAATTCAATTCTCTACAAAGACAGGCATTCAATTCAGATTCTACATCAAGATTCTTTTCACAAAGCACATCAACTTGTCTGCAAGCAGAATGAAGCTTCTCAGTAAGTTCCTTCACATGACCCTCAAACTGAGCTCTGGTAAAGGTCATAACAACATCTGTAGCAATTGAAAATTCGTGCACTTCAGATAAGTGGGTTTCCAGACAACTAATAGAAGAGGAGTCCACTAAAGCATCTTCAAGACGTTTCTCAGATATCTGTAGAAGATCTGAAATTCTTGATTTTTCAAATTCTATATCTGTGACCAGTTGCTTGAGATGGACCAGCTCTTGCCTGTTCATATCAGAATCCTGCTGCTGGTGTTGCTTTTCATTCAATTCGGTGGTAAGATCTATAACCGTTTTCTCCAATTTTTCTCTGAAGACTTTTTCATCGTGCAACTGATTTTGCAGAGAACACAGGCTGTTTTTCAAAAAATTAACCTCAGATGAAAACTGGGCAGATTCTTCTGCTTTTCCCTGTAAAGACAACTCCAAAGCTTTCTTCTCCTCTGCAATTGTTGCTAAGGTCAGTTTACATATTTCAAGGTCACCAGACAAAGTACCTAGCTTTGCAATTTCTTGAGTAAGATCATGATTTCTGGAATTAAGTTGCTGAAGTTCAGCTTCCAAATGATCAAGACTGGAAAACAAGTCATTGTGCTGCTGAGAGTGTACTTCTTCAGATTTAAGACCAGCACTGATCCTGTCAACAAATGCTTCAAAATCTGACTCAAGTTTCTGCAACTGGATACCAGACACACTTATTTTACTTGCCATCTGCTGCAAATCACACCCATACTTCTGTTTCATGACTAGAGCATCTGATTCTGCAGTGTTCAAAGATACTTGAACCATATCTAGAAGATCTGAAATTCTTGATTTCTCAAATTCTACATCTGTGACCAGTTGCTTGAGATGGACCAGCTCTTGTCTGTTCATATCAGAATCCTGCAGCTGGTGTTGTTTTTCATTCAATTCGGTGGTAAGATCAATAACCGTTTTCTCCAATTTTTCTCTGAAGATTGTTTCATCATGCAACTGATTGTTCAGAGAACACAAGTTGTTTTTCAAAAAACTAACCTCAGATGAAAACTGGGCAGATTCTTCTGTTTTGTCCTGTAAAGACAACTCCAAAGCTTTCTTCTCCTCTGTAACTGTTGCTAAGGTCAGCTTACACATTTCGAGGTCACTAGATAAAGTACCTAGCTTAACAATTTCTTCAGTAAGATCGTGATTTTTGGAATTAAGTTGCTGAAGTTCAGCTTCCAAATGATCAAGACTGGAAAACAATTCATCGTGCTGCTGAGAATATATTTCTTCAGATTTAAGACCGGCAGTGATCCTGTCAACAAACACCTCAAAATCTGACTCAAGTTTCTGCAACTGGATACCGGACACACTTATTTTACTTACCATCTGCTGAAAATCACACTCAAACTTCTGTTTCATGACTAGAGCATCTGATTCTGCTGTGTTTAAAGATACTTGAACCATATGTTTTTCATTCACTAAATTTTTCTTCTCTTCAACGAGTATCAGGATCTTATCAAAAGCATTACGTTGCTGCTGTTCTAGTTGCAACAACAGGCCTTCCAAGTCTTTACATTCTGAATCCAAGCAAGCAGAACTACTACAAAGAGAAAGTTCAGTGTGTCTATCATCATATGATGCCACCAATTCCTGCAACTTACTAGACAAAAAGATGACTTTGTTTTGCAGATCATTCTTCATAGAATCAAGCTCATCAAATTTAGCTCTGAAAGATTTTAACTCTTCCTGCAAAATGGATATTTCATCATTAAGTTGGTTATTTTCTAGGTTCTCTTTTTTCAATAAGCTCTTCAACTCTGAATTTTCTGCACTGCATGCAACGTATTGGCTTTTATAACTTCTATAATCTGTCAAAAGGACTTCCAACTCATTACTTTTCTGAGTAAGAAGATTGTTTTCATGAGCAAGATTTTGTAAATTTGCTTCTAAAATTTGGTTCTGGTGAGTAAGATCATTGCTCTTCGCTATGCAAAGCTCCTTATACTCCTTTAACGAGAGGATATCATTTGTAGCATTCTGCAACCTCAATACCAGTAAGTTGTTCGATTGATTTGTAAGCTCCAGCTGTCTCGAGAGTTGAAAATTTTCATTATTCATGGCCTGAATGTTAAGACTAGCTTCAAACAATGTTTCTTGCAGAGCCTTCGAAAACACATCTGAGTATATATTTACAAAATGCATCTGGCAGATTTCTTCTTCAACCTGCTTGTATAACCCCTCTTGATATTGAAGTGATCTTTTCAAATCGCTTAGTAAAATGTCTTCACCCAAATGTTTGTGAAAGGAAGAACTGTGATTTTGACGTAGCAATTGATTAGAAGCATGGCCTTCTGAATTTTTAGTATAATTCGCTGGTTCTGGGAAACCATCAGCATTTGTAAGTGAAGAATCAGAAAGGGTCTGGTTTATGAGATTCTCGTTTGTCTCATGCATAGAAAGAACCTGGCAAGAAAGGAGTTCGAGATCTTTTTGCAGTTGACCAACAGCAATAGAATAGTTCAATCTAGCCCTTTTAAGGGCTGCTTCTGCAGAGATAGTCCTTCTTTCAAACTCATTGTTGAGAGATTCCAAAATGCGCTTATCTTCAGAAAATTTCATTATCTGCTCATTCATATTTTGGTGCATTTTCTCCATCTCCGCCTTACCAGCAGAAATTGCATATAGGCAAGTTGAATGTTCATTTCTGAGATTCTGCAACTCGGCCATCATCTGCCTTTGACTCTGCTCAAGTTCCTGAATAAGAGCTTCATAGTAGCACTCCATCTGGTCCATTTTCTGCACAAATCCTTCCCTTTCAGTTTTGGACTCGTCTAGCTCCCTTAGAAGTTCGAAAATTTTCTCCTTCATAGCAAGGGCGGGATCTACAGAATCAAACTCATGAGACACAAGGCCGGGTACAGTAAGATAACGAGCCATGCTCTCAGGTTGAAATAAAGCTGCGTCGGACCCAATATCTGTTAAAAGCTGCCCATCCATTTGTAAATCCATTTTCTCGTTCTCTCTTCCCTTGACAACTTTAGTCCCTGAAATTGGATCTCTACATTCTTGTTTTAGATCCTGCAAAATCTCAACCACTCTCTCCAACTCCAAGTTAAAGAACCTAAAATCCCTTTCAGGAAATCCCATAGATACCTTCTGAATATCTCTTAACTTATCTTCCATGAGCAAAAGCCCTTTATGCCATTTAAACTGTAAATTGTGGAATAATTTATCCCTATCTATCTCAGCAGGTTCATTGCAAGCAAATGATAAGTTTAGCTTAGAACTTTTAAGCTGCTCAAATTCATCTTTAAACTTTGAACATTCTGATTTTAGTACAGCGACCTCTCTTGCTAGCTCTTCTCCTGATGATATCTCAGCAACAATTTGCTCAGAAAAAAGTTTTGTTTCAACGCCTATTTCATCAGAATGATTTTGCAAACAGCTCACTTTCAGTTTAAGATCAAGAATAGATGACTCAACTGCTTCTAAACTTCCCTTAAGACTGCTACTGCTACAGTCTTCAGAAGCAGCAGCCAAATTATTGGCAGCTGAATAGTCTATGCTCCAACCATGAGCCCAAGCATTGTCATGTGGCGGAAATTGATTGCCAGGCGATTCTCCTTTGTCTAATTGAGGACTTTGACCAACGGATAGTGCACCTAAATCACCAGAGATTGTGCTTTTAAGGCTGTCCACTTCATGCGTACTGCAGATATCATGCTTCTCAGTATATACACTTTCAGAAGTAGTAGAAGAGCCATCAAATCCAGCAGCTGAGTTAGCGTACTCTTCATTTAAACCTGCTTCTCCTTCAAGTGAAGAAGTACGGCGGAGATTTTTTGATTCTCTTTTCAATTTCACTCTTGAATTGGCCTAAATTTCATGATATAAATAAAGGAGAATCAGTGAAGAAAATGAAATTTAAAAAACAGATATGCATGATTTGAGCAAATAAGGCGGAAAAGGATAAGAGGAGTACATATAATATATAGAGAGAGTACACTTGTAATGAGGGAAAGTAAGATACCTTATTAATGTGATTATTGACATTCTTGTCAGGAGATGACTCTTTGCTATCAGCAGATCCATCATGAGTGCCTTGGTCAGAGGTTGTCTGTAGACCTTTCTCTCTGAGTTCCCTCTGCTGTTCAAATTCTCTAAAAGCAAAAATAACATTAAATAAGTATATTGTGTCCAGCTAAAGGACATCCTTAAATGTCAGAATTCACAATATGGTACCTAAAACCGGTTTTGGAAGTGAGAAGCTGCACTGCAACCTGGCTTCAAACAATGAGGAAAAAAACATTAAATGTGATATCAACGATATCTTAAGCAGCTAAAGAACTCTTAACGAATATGCACGCTTGATATATTAATGCCAAGGAAACAGAAATGCATCAAGCAAATGTACCGCAGCATATCCATGTAAGTGCATAAGGAATGAATTGTTAAACAAAATAAAACTACTTCAGAGAATATGAAGTTCAGAGATCCTCACATGTAGTGTGACTCCAGGCTCACTTCCGTTAAGAGGCAAAGCGACAGCTGTAGGCTTCAATGCATCAACGAAATCAGCCAGATCTATGTTGGCCTCGCCAAGGATGCCAGATCGTGAAGAGCCCTAAAGTGGTTAGGGAAAAAATATAATTAGATAAGTTCTAACCTCTCTCAAAACTAATAACCACAAGAATATCTCTAATTTGAAAATGCAGACAATTCTTAGGTATTTCAAATAGTGGCAGAACAACAAAGTTGTTACAAATACTATGAAGTTGTTGTTCTTTACATTATTAATTATACTTTATTCATAACAATCAAAATCAAACCATTTTGAACAATAAACTTAATACATAAAAACAGAATGAGTCGAAAGTATCATTGATTATTGTGTCTCACTTTTAGACAATGTAATCAAGATTTCAGAGTATATATAGACAACGTCAACAACCCAAAGTTAAGCTTATTCAATATACACCATGAATCTGAGCGATATAATGGAAGATTTTGCACCAAGTTGTCATCAATGTGATAAGTTTTGTTGAGTTGGGTTTCTGTTTTCACATGCAAAACTTTTCTAAAAGCTACGGCATGCGGCAGGATAGAATATACCCATTTAAAGTAAGAAAAGAATGTTACCATCCCCACAACAAGTTTGTAAAGCTTCTCTTCATATTGTCTTGTTTTAATGTCTTGGAGGAGTCTTGTAGTTTCATAAATTGGATCTGCCCACTTGCAAGTTCCATTTCTCACATTTGCTTTGGTTGTTTTTGATGTAGCCTTCCCAGTGTCAGTAGGGATGAAAGAGATAAACAGTTTATCCCATCCAGGTTGTGGAATCTAGACCATACAAAAACAAAATTTACCGTCCGTAATTGCATAAACAAATAGATCAACAACTATGTAAACGACAGTAATAACAATAATAGCCGGGGGTTGGGTAGCTCAACGGGTTTGAGCTAAGGGTTAAAAAACGAGGTTCAAACCCTAGTGAAAGAGAAAATAATAGCATAATAATGAATATACAAACATTTTCCTATAAACAGAAAAACAATAACCCGGTCAAAAATTAACTAACCACAGCAAGCAACTGCTCAAATAACAATTCTCTCCAAGATCTCACCCAAAAAGGGATAAGTTTAATGTTGAGTACTGACTATATAAGGGCCATATTAGCAGACATTGAACTTGAAGTAGCTTTGTTCATATTACACCCTCAAGATGACAATTTGAAATGGCACATAATGAATCCAGAGGTAGAAAATTTTAAAGTAACTAATACAAATGAGTTCTAAATAAGCTTAGTTGATAAAGAACTGGATACTTGGATCAGGATACATTGGATATCATCTAGAGCTTGATTAACTTTTCAGTAAGTCAGGAGAATGTTGAGCCTAATAACTGCTTCAGTAAGCCAAATTCGGTCAAAAAATTTAAATCTTTTTCAATGTTTTTATAAACCTAAAAGTGTTACAGAGAACCATTTTCGTCTTAGTAAGAGCCATTGATTTCTGTTAAAGCCACATACTGATTAAATTTGATACTAAGCCTTTTTATTTCTTGTTTGGCGCCACGGCCATTGAAAAGCTTTTCACTTTACATTTAAACAGGTTGCTTGGCTCTCTATGTCTAATCAACTTAATATAACAATTGAAATCTTAAATTCCCAAACCCAGAAAATGAAGTAAAAAAATCATAGAATACAGAAAACTTACATGTGTAGCATGGAATTGGAGGCGAAAAACCACCTTTACTTTTGTTTTCTCAATCTTCCACTTAGTAACTCTCGACATTGTTCCAGAAAATCAATCACACCTAACACGAACCTTCCATTTTCATTCTCACCTCCAACACCAAGTTAATACCTAAACACAAAAGAATAAAAAAATCCACATTCAAACCTCACACTTACCCTTGTTTATACACAAACTCAAACCTATTATACTACGAATAACATAACTTAACACTCAATTAAACAAACCTTAAAAGCAAATCACCTATTAAACAGCACTCAAACCAACTTAAGACCCCACTGATCTAGAATCACAAGTATTATACAAGATAATTAAGCTTCTTAAGCTATCTTAAATAATAATAATGCAACAAAAATGTTAGATCTTGGAACACTAAATCAAAAACTTAGGGGGAAAAGTAATTTCCATAACATACCTTGCTGAGAAACCAATGTTGAGAAAAATTAAGCGGTGGAAGAATGGATCGAGAAGAGAGAATTTGAATTTGAAGAGAGGTGTGAAAAATGGTGAATTTGGAGAATGGCACTGGTTTTGTTCTACTACAATAAATTCAACTCAGAACCCAATGACTGACAAAAGCAAAGAGTAAAAGAGAATCCTAAACACACCAAAATGTGTTTACACAAAGCTAGAAAAATATTATGTACTTAAAAAAAGTGCTATTTTTGTATATTTTTCTTCATTTTAGAAGATTTTTAATTATATATGTCATCTAATTTTGTTAAATATCAAACCAATGATTGATTTTTCGATTAAAAAAAATCAACAATTTATTTATATTAATACAAAAATCAACTAATAATACCTAATGCCACTAGAAAATGGCACCTTATGTTTCATTGTTATTATAATTATAAATAAGTAAAATAATGTGTAGTGCTTTGGGGCAGTTACTCTTGCCTTAGATCTATGAAGTATGGCTGCTTAAAAAGCAAGAAAAAATATAATCTTTAAAGGCAAGAATCAAGATTGAACTAAGACCCACTTTTAGATTTTAGATAAAAGAAAAAGAGTGATTTGAGATGTGTTTAACATTAGAGAGAATGTGATATGAAGTGTTGTTGTTGGGTTGGAGTGAAATAGAAATATTGTGATTAATAAGTAAGGTAAAGTGGAGGTTTGAGGGATAAGATGTTCTATCAACTTCAAAAAAACCAACTAAAACTTCTCATTAGTGATGATTATCATTCAACAACTATTTGTATTAATTACATTATCCTCTCATTACTCAAATTGTGTTGCATATTGAGATTTCTTAATTGCCTCATTTTTTTGGGTTTTGGCTACATTAGGACAAAGTGACATTTTAAAATGCTTGCATAAATGAATAAAATGAACAATGTTCCAAAAAGTTTATATGATGTTGATGAAAAAATGCTATCCAAAAGTTTTGTTTCTCTCTGTTACTTTATTTTTACTTTTTAGAATCTTTCTTTGTACCGAAAAATGTATATCTATTTTTGTTTAAATTAGTCCTTGATGACTATGTTGTTATGGGGTCATGTTTAGTGGAGTCCAGGAAGACTTACCACATGGCCTAGTTTTAATGGAGCCTTTATTTTTCAACTTAAATACTCTGAGAAGTGTTTATCGTGTCAAACAGCTAAGCCAATACCCTTTATCACGTGATGCTTCTTAAGTCACGTGCATCATGCACGTGCTCACTTCAACCACATATCACACAACTCTAGTGAATAAATGTTTTTTAAGAAATAAATACAAAAGATGAATGATATGTTAATTGAAACTGGATAAGTTATTGAGTTTATAATATTTATAAAATCATATAATTTTTATATTTTAGTTGATTTTTTTTTCAATCAAGAAAATATGTAAAGAGTTATAATAGATTACATGCAGATAGGTACTGTAGAAACTCTTTAAATTAATAATGTCAGGATTGGAGAAATTTATTAATTTAGAGAGTTATTAATATATTAATAAATTAATAATTATTAATTTAAAGAGTTTTTAAATAATTATACTGTAAATACCAAACAAAAGGCAAATTAGTCTATGCCTCTTAGAGTTTCGTTGCAGCGAATCTTGCGACTCAATGTAAATTAGTAACTATTGTGTTCATATGCATTGGAAATCAATAATGACTTTTGAAGTATAGTAAATGTAAACAAGAGGAACAAATGTGTTCAATGTATTCTTAACCAAGTTTGCAATATATAAATTACATGAATGTGTTAGAGTATTCAAACCATATCTAACAAAATGGCTTCTCATCTAAAAGGTGTTGCAAAATCAACTATGTCAGATCAAATACGTAAGAAGTTGTGTGAGTACAAGAGAGATAATTTTGCAAGCACACAAAAAGACTTGCGGAGATGGCTTGAGGGAAATTTTCAGTTGAAAGTTAGTCAAGGAACAATATCAAACACACTTAAACAGTCAGATGACTATCTCTCTACTGAAATAGAAAGGGGAAGAGCAGAGATCAAAAGACACAAACCAACAAAATATCCTAACATGGAGAAGGTTGTTTATGAGTGGTTTCTCCAGCATCAAGAACGTGTGAATATCACAGGAGAATTAATTTTGAAGAAGGCAAGAGATACAATGAAACTCGTGTACCCTCATGATGATTCAGATTTTAACTTCTCTATAGGATGGCTTGGGAAATTCAAGAACTGACATGGCATAAAGTCATTTCGGCGTTTTGGCGAAAGTGGGTTTGTTGATGTACAAGACATGGAGCAGAAATTAGTATCATTTGGGAGAAAATTGATCAATTCCATATGAAAGATGTTTTCAATATGGATGAAACTGGGTTGTTTTATAGGCTACAAGTTAATCATTCACTAGCAACAAAACAACTTGAAGAAAGAAAACAAGATAAAGAAAGGCTGACGGTAGTTATTTGTTGGAATGAAGATGGCTTTGAAAAAATCTCTTTATGGATTATTGGGAAATATGGAAAGCCTCGTTGCTTCAAGAATGTCAACATGAATAGCTTGGATTGTCAGTATCGAGCTAACAAAAAAGCGTGGATGACTAGTGTGCTTTTTGATGAATATGTTCATTCATTTGACCAAATGATACATGGTAGAAGAGTTCTATTTGTGGTGGATAATTGTCCAGCACATCCAAGAAATATTGAAGGGCTAAGAAACGTTGAGTTGTTTTTCTTTCCACCCAACATGACATCAAAGATTCAACCTTGCGATGTTGGGATAATAAGAGCTTTCAAGATGCATTACCGTAGAAGGTTTTACCGCAGAATATTAGAAGGTTATGAGGTGGGACAATCTGATCCAGGGAAGATAAATGTCCTTGATGCTATCAATTTGGCAATCCCAGCTTGGACGATAGATGTTCGAAAAGAAACAATAGTGAATTGCTTTCGACACTGTAAAATTCGTTCAGCTAGTGACGTTGCAAGAAATTTGGATGAATCCACTTTTGATAAAGAAACTCAAGACCTCGAGACTATGATCAACCAATGTGGCTATCGTAATAAGATGGATATCGACAATCTAATGAACTACCCAGGTGAAAATGAAGCATGTTCGGAGGCTCAGAGTTTAGAAGATATTGTGGGTACTATCATTGAGAACAATGCAGAGGATGACGACGGAGATGATACAATGTCTTTGGAGCTTGTTACGCGAAAGGAAGCACTTATGGCTTGGAACACTCTTTACAACTTTATGATACAATACAAAAATACAACACCTGAGCTATTGGATGCAATAAGAAAAGTTAGAGATGAGCTCCAAATAGACTTGAACTTTAAAGGAAAACAGACAACTATTGAATCATATTTCAATAGAGTGTAATATATTTTTTCTTTCAGTTTCTATGAATTATTAATTTATGATTTTCTTGGGACCGAAAATTATAAAGGGATCTCCCGAAAAATTATTATCTTATTATTTTATCGATTTTTTCAAGTTTTTACATTGGCCCAAATTGAGACCGGACAAATTTATTATTTTAGAGAGTTTATTAATTTACCGAGTATTAATTTAAAAAGTTTCTACTTGCAATAAATAAATACTTTAAGACTATGGTTACTGATCTGACCTGATCAGAAGGGGATCACGGGCTGGCCACACGCTGTTGGACTGCTACCTGTTCACCGATGATGAGGAGGAGAAAGGGGGGTGTACCTGCAAAACACTCTGATGCCAAAGTAAGGAGTTGGGCAGAGCGAGAGCAAAGTACAGAAAAGGGCAAGATGTGAATTACCTGACCCTCTTGAGGAAGAGGGTATTTATAGAGAGACCCCAGCGCTGGGCCAACGGTCGCTTGCGTTGGGCTGGATTGCCAGGCCCAACCCAGGTGATTGCTAGGGCTTACGTGGCGTAGTGAAGACCAGAACGTGGTCTTCGCCCTAGTCCAACTGCTCGTTGATCTCCGGAAAGTGGGTTTGACCTGCTCTTTCGGAGGTGGGCAGTTGGTTGATGACGTGTCCCCACGGAGGGGAGCACGTGGAGAACGTGCACCGGGCACGTTGTTCTCCCCGCGGAGGGGAGCACGTGAGGGCGCGGAAGAGCCATGGGGTCTCGCCCGATGGCACGGGGAAGGTCGCCCGCGGAGGGCGTTCTGTTCGGCTAAAAGGGGGGGCGCCGAGGACGCTTCGAGACGTGTCGTCCCGCTCGGCGGGGAGCGTATCCTACCCGTCCTAGGGGGTGTGTATGCCCGGTCAGACCCTTCCGCTTAATAGGCCTTGTGCGTTATTGGTCTGGACCGCGAGGCTGGGCCCAGACCAGAACAGGAGCCCCCCAAGTCGAAGCTCTGTGGCGAAAGAGCGAGGACTTAAGGTCGTTGCTTCGAGAAAAGAGGTATCGAGGCGGGTGGCTCGTCGGTTTTGTGCCCGGTGCAACGCGTGCATGCGTGAGGGTCTTCTTGTCGTCGGGAGAGCGGGGCAAAGGTATATGAAGGGACGCGATCGTCAGGTTACCGCCACATGTCGCACGTTGAGTGGGTAGTAGGGCGGCTACCCTAGGACACTCAAAATCCTAGTGTCGCTTCGAGTTCCGCGCCGGGTTATAAATGTGGGGGTCCCCGCTCATTTTTTTACTTTCCACCTTGTTGTCTTACCTGCGAAACTCTGAGATTCCTCCTCGTCCGTCGTTGTTGTGGATCGCCGTCGTGCCGTTAGTTCTTCCTCCCGTTCGCCACCGTCACAAGTGAGTTTCTCTCTTTTCTCCTTTTATTTCTGTCGTTTGATTAGGGTTTGTGGTCGGGGCGTGATGAATGCCCCGAGGAGAGATGCGAGTTCTGCCGTATCTGGCGATTTTCTGGGTTAGTTTGGATGAATGCCCCGGGGAGGTTTGGTTGTTTCGATGAATACCCCGAGGACGGGGGCTTTCTCCGATGAATGCCTCGGGGACGCGTGCCTTTCCCGATGAGTACCCCGGGGAGGGGTGATAGGTTAGCCTTTAAACGCCCCGTGGAGGAGCGGCGGGGAGCGTCCCTCAGGGAGCGACCGCGTGCTCGTCGTTCTCCTGTCGTTGTCAGCCTTTCACTTGACCTGCGGTGGGAGGGTGGATTTGATCTTGGCTATCGAATTCACCATTGTCCTCTTCTTTTCAGGTGTACATGTCGGCCTTGATACCGGGGACGATGGTCGAAGATAATGATCCCGAGGTCCCGGATTTCGACGAGCGGGTCCTCCCCGTCGAAGAGTGGGTGGTTGAAGAGTCGTTGTCCACCCCATCTTGCTTCGTGCTCGACGCGTCCGATGTCTACGCTACCATGGAGGATACGCACGAAGGGGAGCCACAACACTGGCAGGTGTATCGCCCGAAGGAGCATCATCGCATCTGCTCGAGATATGGGCGACGGATGTTTCCCATGCACGAGTTCTACTTCAAAGAGGCCCGGCTCCGATTGTCGTTCTCCGCTTTCCATTTGGGCCTTTTCAACTGGTTACGCTTGGCCCCGTCCCAGCTGCATCCTAACGCTCTGGCCTTTATCCGCGCGTTCGAGGTGGTATGCTTTTATCTCGAGGTGGAGGCCACGGTGCCCTTGTTTTTTTCGCATCTTCCACCTGCAACGCCAGTCGGTGAACGGCCGTCAAGGATGGGTCTCGTTTAAGCAGCCGACCAAGCTCTTCAAGACGTACAGCGATTCTGTTCGAGATTTCAAGGGTCGGTTCTTCCTCATGAAACCGATCACCCAGGAAGGCTCAGATACTCTTTTTACCGAGGGAGAGCGGACGGTAGACGGCCAGCGGTTCCTTACGTGGCTCCCCAAGGTACATTTATTGTGGACCTCGGAGCACTTCAACCGTGGTACTGACCGGTACATCGTGCGGGCTGGGACTCTCGACGAGAGGGATATGGCCGCCTATATGAAAATAGTGGCCTTTGTGCGGGATCTTCCCCTATCGAAATTGGTGACACCCGACGGTCGGTACATCCTCGACGCGCAGGGGAACGTGCGGACGAAGAAAAGGCTGATTAACACGAAGACCCTGCTCGGTTGCGCCACGGGGGCGGACGCTCTGGAATATCTAGGTAGGGACGTTTCTTCTTTCTTGTGATCGTATGTTTTGTCCGTTGCTAACTCTCTGTTTGTTTTTGCAGCGAACATGTCTTCCATCGAGGAGCGGGTGAAGAAGTTGCGCGCCTCAAGGGCTGCCGCGGTCCCGAAGACGCGGATGAGTCAACTGGTTGGGCAGGAGGCCGTGACGCCGGGAGGCCAGAGTTCGTCTTCTTCTCCCTAGGAGAGCCAGTCTCCTACGTCTCAGGGAGCTGCAAAGAGGCCGAGATCCGAGGAGCCCAGCGGCTTGATTGATCTGACGACCGGCTCGGCCGAGGAGGGCTATGTCGTTCCGCCGTGCCATCAACATCCGGGCTATTTTCACGGGGCCCGGTCTCCTACCGTCTCTGCTGGGGAAGTGAAGGTTGTCCGCGAAGCCGATCGAGAGTCTCGTCGACGTATCCTGGAGGAGGATTTGGCTGCGATGATGCGGACGTTCACGACGGCCCTTGTCCTGAACGAGGAGGGTTGATCTGCCGCTGAGCTATCCAAATTGCAGGGGGACCTTACCTTCATGCAGTCGCGCCTGGCCAAGCTTACCGAGGAGCTGGAAAAGAGTCGGAAAGACGCTGCTGACCAGCGCAAGCGAACGGAGGGTGTTGGGGAGAAGGTGACCTCGATAGAGGAGAAGCTGGGGGCGGCAGTGGCCGAGGTGCAGGCGCTGAAAGTTTGCATGGAAGTCCTGGACAACGCACTTCGTCCGGCCGAGGACGAGACTGAGGAGGACCAGCGGTTGATCACGCGTGCTGATTTGGTCGCCCGGATTCGGGTGTTGGAAGGCGATTGTTTGGATGTTATCGAGGTTGGGTTCAAGAGCGCCGTTGCGCAGATCCAAGTTGTCAACCCCGGCGCCGCGTTGATCATGGAAGGGATCGGGCCGTATCATGAGATTGTCGACGGGAAGATGGTTGACCACGAGCTTGTCGTTTCCGACGCTGGCCACGTGGTTGCTGAGCAGGAGGGCGAGGTTGTATAGGTTTCCCGGGCCTGCGTGCTCGTAGTTTCTTGGCCTGTGTGCCAATATTTTGTAACTTGTTTTTCTTTGTTGGGCCTGCGTGCCCCCGTTCGTGTAATATTGACTACTGGGTTGGTGCCCACTTTTGTTTAATATATCTTTTGAGAATTTTCTAAGTGTGCGCTCGGTATTTACACGATGTTTATGCTCGTCTTATTTTCGCATTTATTTGTTTGCTTGAATTATGTTTGATATGTGTAACACCCATTTTAATTATTTAGTCATTTTATTATTATTTTAAATATTATGTGTTGGTGTGCCCTTTGGTGGGGGTGTATTTGGTGATGTTTGGTGGGTGTCCCTAATGTGGGAGGATTATTGGTGGTGTTTTGGTGAATATAATAATATAGTGTATAATATTGATATTGGTGGGAATATTATTATTATTATTATATTTATTATTATTACTATTATTATTATTATTATTTTATTAAGTTATTAACATTATTATTATTTTGGTGAGATGATAATAGGATTATTATTATTATTATTATTATTATTTTATTAAGTTATTAATATTATTATTATTTTGGTGAGATAATAATAGAATTATTATTACTATTATTATTATTATTATTTTATTAAGTTATTAACATTATTATTATTTTGGTGAGATAATAATAGGATTATTATTACTATTATTATTATTATTATTTTATTAAGTTATTAACATTATTATTATTATTTTGGTGAGATAATAATAGGATTATTATTACTATTATTATTATTATTTTATTTATTATTATTATTAAGTTATTATTATTATTATTGGGATTAGAGAATTAAAATAGAGAAGGAGAGGGGTTACCAGTTTTACGATACATTGTGAGAAGTTAGAGAAAGTGGAAAAAGAACGATAGAAAGGAGAGAACGGGAAAGGGAACGGAAAAGGGAGCAAAGAACGAAGGATACAAGGGAAAATCAGAATTGGCCAAACCTTTGAGGATTCTTTCATCGATCAGCCGATTAACAAGGTAAGGGGGGAGAAACTTGATTGGGAATGATTTATACATGTATAGGGTAGTTGGGGATTCCTTAACCCCGTAGGAAATTGATCGATATATGATAATATATATTGTTATGTTATGATTGATGATGATTGTTGTTAATTATATAGTAATCGTTAATGAATTGGTGTTTTGGGATGATTTGGCATATAGGGCATATATGGTGTTTTACAGTTTTTAGGGAAAATTCTGTATGGCTTTTGAGGTATCGATAAAGTGTGTAGGTGATGATTTTGGGAATAGGAATTAGAAGCCTATTGGTTAC